CAAATTAATTATTTTAATATAATTTCTTAATTTCAAGAATATTATATATTTTAGATTTTCAAATCAGTAGATCAAAACATTAACATAATTATATTTTTTTATTACATTTTTCAATTAATGTATTTAGGGTAAAAATATAGTTAAATTTTTAATTTCTTTTAAAAAATAATATTTTTTTTTTATATAATTTTGATTTCATGGAAGACCTAAAACTATTAGTATATAATATTTCTATATTTAAAAACGTTTATTATATTAAAGTATTTAATTTTTTTATATTAAATTTGAAACGGTAATGTATGTAATTATATACAATATAAATTTCATATATTTTAAAATAAAATACTCATTATATATTAATTTCATTTTATGAATTGACTTTTATTAAATTTTATATGAGAAATAATTTTATTTGTTTTATTAAAAATTTTTCTTTATTTTACAATTTTTTATTAGATATGTTAATAGGTGTTCATTTATTACTATTTATATATGTAATTATTGCAATAATCATAATTAAGATAATATATTAAAATAAAAACGAAAAGTACAGAATCACATAAACAATTGAGAAATTTGTAAATTAACTTGATTTGGGGTGAATTTTATGTAAACTTTAATATATAAAAGAATTGCATTCGGGCTTGCTGATGAAATCAAAGCAAATTCACTAGCTTGCCTGAAGCGGTTTTGAATAAACACGACTTAAAGAACAATTTGAAATTTTTAAGAAAATTTTAAAGAAATTTAAAATATACAAAGAATTTAAAATTAAATTATTATTAGTAATAAAATCAAAAACAAAAATATTATATTTTAATGGTTTCTATAATTGTATTTTTTATTATTGGAATGATATGCGGTTTGATTTTAACTTAATTATGTTAATGTTTTTCTCAATAAAATGTTTTTTTTTTTGCATTAAAATATTTTGCGGTTTGTTTTCTTATAATTTAATTAATGTTTCGTTTTTTCTTCAAGATTTTTATTGCTTTTTATTTTATTTTTTATTTTATATGTAATTGAATTTTGTATAAAAATAATAAATATTTTTTGCAGTTGTTTTCTTATAAAAAATATTAATTTTGAATATATTTTGATTCATTTATATATGTATGTAAAAATATCACTATGAAATTATTTATGAATTGGTTTATAAGTTGGTAGTTTCTAAAATTTGTAAAATTGCAAGAAAACAGAATTAAATTTAGTTAAATAAATTTATGTTTGGGGCTATATAAAGCTTATAATAGATTGATAATCCACGTTGTAAGAATAAACTAAGAGAGAATTCAAATGTAAGTGGGAATTCTATTTCTTGTATGCATAATATAAAATTATTTTCAAGAAGAAAAATTGTTTTACGTGCTAAGTACCTTATTTTTTATAAAAATTGAAGTGACATTTTTTGTGGAAATTAAAAAGTTAGTCGAAATTTAGAAAAATTTACAATTCATATTCGAAAATTGACTAAAGAGGGAAATAGAGAATTAAATTCATAAAAATATTTATAATAGAAATTTTAAAAACCATCAACTTATTCATGTATGGATGTGAATATTTTTTTTTTAATTAAATAAAATATAAATATATATATAAAAAATTTTAAAAATGTAAAATTATATTTTAAATATGTGTATAATTGTAAAATAATTATAATATGTTTACAAAATCGCAAAAAAAGATCATACTATTTATACAGTGGTTGCGAATAACTTTAAATTAAATTAATATAAAATTACCAAGAATTTATGAAATTTTTAAGCATTTGTTTGCCTTAAAGAAAATTAAGGTTAAACAAGCCTTTTTTAAAAATAAAATTAATTGTGCCGAAATTTAAATTTTTAATAATATACGAAATAAGGAGACCATTACATATATAATAAAAATTTTAAAATATGAATAAATATTTGAATTAATTTTTTGAATTTGCAAAATATTTATTGAATTATTTATGCATGAAAATAGATAATTAAATTTTTTTATAATTAATGAATATACCACTTAGTTTTTGACTAAAATACATTACAATAACTAAAACATTCAAATATTTAAAATAAAATTTAATTTGGATCTTAAATTTTTAATTAGAAAGAAATGGTGACTATAAATTGTTATTTAAATTTTATTAGTGATTAATACAATTTAATTATTAAAAAGTTCAGAAAAAAGATATTGTAATTGATTTAAAAAAAATTGATTTAAAAAATATTTTATCAATTAATGTTAAATTTATTATTTATAAAAAAAATATTGCATGCATAAAATATTATTGAATTATTGTAAGTTTTTGGTATACTGAAATTAGATTTTCGAAAAAGTTGAATTAAATTTAATAAATGCCTATCACAGTTTAAATTAACATATTTCAAGAAATGTTCTTTAAATCAAAGAAAAATTAAATTAAATTCCAAATACTTTACTATTCAAATCAAAATAATTTTATAATGAAATTTTAAAAGTATAAATTAAATTTAAAAATTAATAACATGAATTTGTGTACAGTCCCCTTACTACAGTATAAAATTTTTTTAATATAACAATTTGTTTTAAACGTTAATAGTATGATCGGCTTTTTTCATATTTTTTTTTTTTTTATTTAAAAATTTTATCTGATATCGTAAAGTATATATGTAGGACCGAAAGTACAGAATGGACTGTTTTAAAACATAATTTTTATATAAATAAATGTAAATAAAATAATTGTCGATAAAAATGTTAAAAATTTTATTTAAAAAATTTATAGAATATCGACTTAAGTGATCTCTTTTTTGTACACTCAAATATATTTTAATTTTCAAAATAAAATAAAAAAAATATTTTGAAACAAGAAAAACAAAATGGAAGATAACTATACAAACGAAATGCTATCAAAAAATACACGAAAATATTAGCATTAATTTTTATACAATTTAGAAATTAGAAGCTTGCTTATTATAAGCGAATTACTTACATAATTTGATTTAATTATGTATTTTGAATTAATGTAAATATTTATAATATGTATTAATAGAAAAGTAATATAAGTTATATAATATAGAAGTGTAGGATTGTATCTTGTATTAATCTTACTATAAAATTGCATTAGAAATTTAAATAATATCAAAAATTTATTTAAGAAATTTTGTAATAAAAATGAAATTGAAAAAAATTATTTTAATGATGATTTAATTTTTATAATGATTTTTTAAATTTTTTTTCCTATAATATTGTGTGAATTTTCATTTTACTATTTATTTCTAAGTAGAAAAATAGATAAGTTTAATAGTTATTTTAGTAAGAAAAATGTGCTTTTTATACAATATGGTGAAATGCATAATTTTAAAAATTAATAATTTTTAAAACTAAGGTTGTTCCTATACAAAAAAAAAAAAATTTAATAATTCAATTAAAAATAATAAACAAATGTAAATAATTAAGAATTGTTGAAAATATTAACTAATTTTAATTGAATTTCAAAAAATAATGCTGATTTTTAATTTAAATATTTTTTTTTTTTGAATTTGAATGTATATATATATGGATCACTTAATATTGAAAATAATAATAATATTAAATATTAGTGCTTGAATGTTTTAATATGCATTCTAATAAGTAAGTACTGTTACTAAAAATGTGAAAAAAGCCTTAAAAATATTTTTGTATTTTGTATAATATTATTTTTAATTTGAAATATTAATGAAACTAAAAATACTTAAATAAATTTTAAAAAAATATTTTGTGTGAGTTATTTAAAATTTTTCTAATTTCTTATAATTATATTATGTATGGTATGTAATATGTAAGTTTTTTTTTGTGTTTTATTTTAAGTTATTTACAAATCTAATTTATGTAAAATATACAAAAAAAAAAAAAAAAAAAATTGGCAATTTTGAGAAAATTTTCTATAATTTGTTTTTTTGGTTTTTTTTTCATTTTTTTGGTTCTAAATATTCTGTTATAACATAGTTTTATATTTTATATATAATTATTAAATTTTTTTATTTAATATTTTATACAATTATGTATAAGTACCAGGATTCCAAAAAAAAATGTTGTGTTTTTAATTTAGTAAATTGGCAAAAAATTCATCGATATAAAAGGTTATCATTTCAGAAATTGGTATAAAACTATATTTAATAAGGTCATAACAAAAAATTGTTTCTTATTAACTATGAAAATTTTAAAAAATTTTTGAATTTATATGCCATATTTTATGGTTCGCATTTCATGTAAGTATACGACATACTGTAAGGCGACTTTAACAGAATAATTTTAAATTTTTTTGTGCAATTTGTAATTGATACATTTACTCTGTTCGCGTGCATGTTATTTTTTGCAGTTTAAGCAAAGTTTTTAAGCTTGTAAGAAAGTATAATGTAATCGATGAATTTTTTTACCAATTTCACATTACTGTTTTTGTTTTTATAAGTATATTATGTTAATTTATGTATACATAATGTGTTTTGATATATTATTTACAATATGTATATACATGTGTGTATATATAGAATTTGACGGATATAATATTTACATTTAATTATTTAAATTAAAATGAATCTCTATATATGTATGTTTTACACAGGATGAACCATTTTAGTTAAAATTTTTTAATAACATATTGCATTATTTTAAAAGATTTATCTAAAAAGAATTAATGTACATTCCCTCATAATTTAAAATTACTATGAGTATAATTTAATTAAAAAAATCTTTATTTTCGAAATAGCTTTTCTTGAATTTTAATCATATGAACTACATTTTATTTTTGATTATTTTGAATTTCTTAAGTTTGCTCTTTTTGTTTTTGTTTGCTCTGTTTTTACAATAAAAATTTACTAATAAAATTAAATAATAAAATTTAATAATAAAATTAAAATACATTTAAAGTTTAATTAATTTAGGTCGTCCGGGTATTTAAAGGTCTAAATTAGCAAACAATTTTTAAGTATAGTTTAATTAAAATGGTTCAATTTTGTGCACTAAATTTTTATTATAAATATTATTTATATAATTTTAGTAATAATTATTTTGGCTATTTACTTATAAAAAAATTTATTGGAGTAAAATAAAATTTTTAACAAATCAAAAAGGATAAAATAAATTTATACATATGTATAGAAAATTTATTAATCATTATAATCTCAATATTTTTTTTTTTTGTGCATAAAAGTAAAAATAATTTTTTATTTGAAATTTTGCTTATTTTATTGGTTACTATTATTTTCTACTGTTACCATCATTGGCCAAAAGTAATTCTTTTGCCTCACGTTTTCCTTTTTTCTTTTCTTCTTTTGCAAGAATTTTTGCTAAACGTTCTTCTTCTTTTGCCAAGCGTTTCTCTTCCTAAAATATTTTTTATAAAAGAAAAAAAACCATAAAAAGAATGAAGAAATAAACACAAAATGAAAATTTATAATTATGTAAGATGGAGGAAAAATAGAGGAATAAATTACATATTTAAAATTTATAGTTAAGAAAGGCAAAAATAAATTAAACATGAAAAATATTTTATGACTGACATTATTATCTAAAAGTTTCACTATTGCTATATTAAAATAAAAATTAAAATAATTAATTTGTTTATTTTCAATTTTTTTCTAAAAAAGCATTTTGAATAATACTTTATTCACAATAAGTTTATTTTGTAATAATATGACAATTGATTTGAAATGATAATTTGTCAAATTATTTATACACAATTTGTTTTAAACGTTCTACGATAAGAGTTTTTCATTTAGAAAACGGAAAAAATGCAGTATTTTATATAATAAGTAGATAAAGATAGAATCATTACTATAGGAAATAATATGTGGATTAGTGTATGTATTTTTGTTTTCAAAATTAAGACACGATTAGTTCTAACAATTACTTTTCTTAGAAATTGTGTGAATTGCATACATATATGTACGTAATATGAATGTTGCTTGATAAATCATCAAGATTTATGACATTTTGTAATTACTGTTTCATACTACTTGTCATGTTTTCAATGTTTTCATCAGACTTTCTTGTACTTGTCATGCATGTATTTTGGAAGTATAGGATTAAAAATTATAAATTTGAAATTTAATAATTTACGTATATTTCGAATTGTATTTTGAATAGAGTTCAATGAAATTTCAGAAATCGTTCTATAGCTTTTTTTAATCATTTACAATGACCAGAATATTTTATCCATTAAGTTATTTGACTTGTTAAAAAAATATTGTTATTTTATTTTATAAAATGCCAAAAATAAAAATGTGTCAAATTTTTTTATATAATTTGATTTCAGTTTTTACAAGGTCTTCCATCAATTTTTAAAATTTGTATAAACAAATAAATTATTCATTTTGAAAATTGTTGGGACTTTTTAATTGAAAAAAATTCATAGATGGTAGTTTTTTTTCGAAAGAAATAAAATAAAATTCGTGTTACATAAAACAAAAGAACTTGTTAACAATAATAATCAGTTGGAGATTTGTCATGAAAAACTAAAGCATATAAAATATTAATTTAAATACTCGTATTTTGTATAACATGGAATTACTAACAGTTATTATAAAATTCATATTCAGCAATTCCAAAGAATTTAATTGTCAACTCAATTCGTTACTTTAAAATGCATGAATCTCAATGATTCATATGATAAATTGTATTGAGTTAATGTAGGTCGAAAAAAGTTTCTACATTCTAAATTTAAAGCTCTCTCTTTTATTTTAAGTTCTTATTGTAAAATTTTTTTGAAATGTAAAAGACAAAAAAAAAACAATTTTTGTTTTAGGGTCATTCATCCTTCTTGAAAATGCATAATGGATTTACCTTTCTTGCTTCTTTTTCAGCTTTTATTTTTAATTTTTCTTCTTTCTTTTTCTTTTCCATTGTTTCATTTTTTTTATTGTCAGCCTTTTCGTCCTGATGATGATGATGCTGTTGATTTTTATTGTTAATATTATTAAAAGATAACGTTGAATAATTTTTATTGCTATTGTTATTTATTTTAACGGAATTGCTATTAGTTTTGTTACTATTATTGCTATTGATAAATGAAAAACTTTTGGAAGAACTTGGATGATTCAATTCAACCTTTGATGATTTAACCTTGATGCTATTCATCGTTGTCATCGTATTATTATTGTTATTCATATTGCTGATAATATTATTATGATTTGAATTATTTTTTAAATTTTTTGGTGATGTTAAACTATTTTTAACTGGAATTTTTGATGCGGTCGGATTAACTTTTGATGTTAAACCAGGCTTGGCAGATGATTTTAATGTTTTATTTGTTAAAGTAGAAGCAGATGAGGAAGACTGCTGTGATGTTGGTCTCGATGGTGATGGATCTTTATTAAGTAAAGGAACTGTTTCATGTGATGGAGATTTTGTATATGAGGCATAACTAAAATAAAAAAAAAAAGATAATTTTAATAAAAAATTTAATTGAAAAATATTTTTTTTTTCAAAACTGAATTATATTTATAATAAATAAACAAATTTTATTTTACGAATCTTTTTGTGATTTGGCCAAAACTTTAGATTTCATTGACTGGGATTAATATAATCGAATGTTTTCGACTTTCACATTTCTTTTGCCTTTTAGTTATGAATCTGGATGAGTTTTTTTAATATACTCAAAGTAGAAAGTTTTTCTACCTATAAAATAAATCACTTATAGTTTCAAGAGAATTTAAATAATAATTTTTTTGTGCAGGCAGTAAAACCAAGCTGTGAGAAAATTGTTTTTATTTTGTATGAAAAGTGAAACAAAAGAAGACGTGTTCACATTTAATAAAACAACACAAAAAGAAAATAACTATTTCACACCCAATCAAAACCAAATCATCAAAAGAAAAACAAAACACAAAAAACAAAAACTGCTCTCGTACTTACCGAAAACGTGGATTATTTAAATGAACTGGTGATGGATGTGGTACTTTAGCCGGACTCCGAAATTCTTTAATTGGTGGTAAGCGATTCTGTTGTAAATCTGCAATTCTTCCTTTTGTATATCTTCTACCAGGATAAGTATTTGCAGTTGGTATACCATGTATTATACTAGGTTTACGTGGTATTGCACCTGAACATCCTGTTGGGCACGTTGAATGTGGATGATTATGATGACTATGATAATTTGATGATGACGATGAAGATAATGAATTAATACCGCAACTTGTATTACTTGAATAACTGCTAGCCGATGTAGCAGCCGATGAACAGGAAGACGCTGATATTGACGAATCAGTACCACTTGACATGGAAGACGTATTCGAACAATTAGTTGCATTTGATGAATTCGATACTGATGATGTTCCTGATTGCATTGAATATAAACTAGCAGATTGTGCAACACGATTTCTTCCACAAGAACCACCATTATAATGATGATTATGATTGTGATTACTATTATAATGATGATGTTGATTGTTTTGTTGATTATTATGATGTTGATTATGATGATTTGAATGTTGATTTACGGATAAATGTTGAGAACCTACTGAATATGAACTGGCTGATTGTGGTACACCAGTACTACTACCACTACCTGATGACCAACTTTTGGCACCAACTGAATAACTGCTAGCTGATTCTTGTATACGCCATGTTCCAGAGCTAGATGTTAATCGATTAACACGTGCTCGACATATAACACATCTTAATGGAAGAAGACGCTGTGCAACTGCACTTTGTATTGTTTTTACAAAACAACGTCTACAAACAACTCTATGACCACATGGTGATGTTTGCATTGTTGCTCTAGCATTAATACATATAACACATTCATCTTCTTGGGATGTTGGAGGTTCTGGTTCACTTTCTTCAAGTTTACTCAATAATTTATCCTATAAAAAAGTAAAAAATAAAATATAAAAAATTTCAATTAGTAAAAAAAATATTCTTTCAAATGAATTTAAAAATTTTATGTGTTTGGTTACTATTTCTGCATAATTATTTTAATTTTTAAAAAATTATTAAAACTTGTAATTAAAAATTGTTAGAATTATAAGATTAATTTTTGTGTTTTCTAAAATATCGTTTAGAAAACATTTTGTTTTTAATTAAATTGATGCAACTATCAAAAATGTTCTTTCACCCATTAATTTTTAATGGGCGTTCGGTACTATACTTAAAAGAAAAAATGTTTCTTTGGGGGTTTTAATGTGCAAATACCGTAGATTCAGCACATATAATCGCTGTATCCTTTGTTCCTACGTAAATTTTAAAAAAAAGTGTAAATGTACAACTAACGTATGTGGTGTACTTTTATTTTCAAAATTTAATACAGTTATAAATACCGGAAATTAACCTTGAAAAATCTCATCATAATTAACATATTATGCATAGATCTCCTATATCTATAAGATATTTAAAATTCGCGTACCTGTACATTAGTTTTTTGGTTTTTCTTAATTTTAATGAGTTCATGTGAAACCATAAGCCTTTAAAAACTATTTTCTCACTAAATTCCACTCGTATACGATATTAGATGTAAAGTTTGTTGTAAAATGTAGAACATGATATAACAAAAGAAATAGAAAGAAAAATACATACAAAAGTAGTTTGTTGAAATAAAACCAAATATAAAACTTCAACCTTATAATTTTATTAAAATTCTACGAGTTTTTAATCTAAATATTTTTCTTCCCTGCAATATTGCAAAAATGCTTTCTTTTAATTTTATTCTACTTAAAAAATGGCGAATAATTAAATATTTTCAAAAAGTTAATCCATTGGTGTTGCCGCTTGCCAGAATTTATTTATATACACGGAATTAATTGTTTTTTGACAAACGCATCATGCCGCATGTCGCATCTATTGAAGTCAGTACTAAAGAGAGCCAATGTTTAAAAAATTTCTCTAATAACAAATTTCCGTAATTAAAATCTGACATACAATACATCGATATCAGTAATACAATGAATACACCGAAATTCGTCTATCGTTACCATTGCCCCATTATTGTGTTTACATTTTGAGAACATTTTCTTTTAAAGCCTCTTTATAGTAATACATATTTAGATATTCTAAGATTTTCTACATAAAGGATTTTCTATTAAAATAATGACTTGTGTTTAGTACATAATTTTAAAGGTTAATTTATTAAAAGAAAATATTATATAATTTATGAATGTATGTAAAATTTTATATGTACATATAAAATTCATTTTTATCAAAATATTATGAAATTATAAAATTCTTCTATAACATTGAATACCTACTGATGTTTCTAAAAATATACGCTATTGTTATATATGAATACTTACATTATTATGTAATGTATAATGTGTATTTGGAATGAATTGTGCAGAAGAAAGAAAATTTAATCATGTTGTTGACAAATCATATGCATAAATTTTTCTATTATATTTATATTTACAATACAAGTGTAGGTGGACTATTATGAAGGTTATATTATATAGTGAGGAATTATTTGTATAATATTTATAAATCTTATTGAAATCTTACATCCTTATTTTGTTATTATATATTAAATATTTCAATTGTGTTATACTGGCATATTTTAAAGTATGTTAAGGTTTATAATATATTTTATAATGAATTTAACATGAATTTACATAATATGATGATATTATTATAATGCATATACATACTTATTTAAAATATTAAAAATTAATTTATTTAAAATATATTCATTTTGTTGCGATTTTAATAATTGTATATGTGTGGGAACCTAATGGTATACCAAATATCGTTATGAAACACGTAACAATGTGATAATAAACAATACGGGCATATGCCACAAATGTGTCATGTCGAATTTCCTCTTTTAATTATAGTCTCCTTAAGAAGTTATCCTTAAGAAATGAAGTTACTCATACATTTAGTTATTAAATAAAATTCGATCCCATATTCGCATATATTTGAAATTGTATAATTAGAATTGAATTCTGAATTAATTTAAATAAAATAAAAAGGGAAATAAACACATAATAGCATTATGTTTATAGTAAGATGTTAAAATTGATGATTTGTAAGGTGAATTCTACGATATTTGTTGTAGTCATACACCTTTAAAATTAATTAATGTATCTATTTAATAATATTTTGTTTCTGTTTAGATATAATGAAGGTTCTTTGATTGTGATCATTTGAATACAAATTAAATAAAATTTGCACACAACATTGATCTTTAAACTTTAATTATTATAAAAATTTATTAAATTGTTTAATAAAATTTTAGTTCCTGTACTTATTTCATGCTATAAATTTTTTGATAAGTGTATATACAATGTATGTAAATTGTATTAAATTTTATTGAACCTGAAAATTTCAGATATTATTTTGAATATACAATATGCAAGGCAGTATTCAACTATGTGATTAGTTTTAATAATAAAAAAAAAAAAATAACGATAGTTAATGCATAATATACGATAAACTTATATATGAGCTTTAAAAGTAATAAAAGCTAATAAAGAAGCAGTAAAATATTAAACTAAAAAATATATTGGTTTTTTTTATTTTGTTTAAGTATGGAAAATTTTTTGCTTTGCTTTTACTTAATTTGTATAAATAAAATAGTTTTTGAAATAAGAAAAATACATGTTTTAAATTTTATTATCCTATCATTTCCGTAAGTGCTTCATTCATTAGTTTTTGAAAAATCATAGTATTATAAACAGTTTTGAATCTGCAAGGCTCCAACAGAATCCCGATAGAAGTATTTCAGCACTGAATAAGCAACTATCTTAAGTTTGGATTTCGATTTCTTACAGATAAATCTGAAGATACGTTCGTTCTATTCATTTTAGATGAACTGTGTATAGAGACAATGTATAGAGAACCACGAACCGATAGTGTCTGAAACGAATAATTATAATGTTCCTGAAGTGTGATTGTTTTAGCTAACTATTTGTATCACCGTTAAGAGCGCGTAAAAAATAATAATAGTCGCAACCTTGACATACAGGCCAACACCATTTCCATTCTCTTTAGTTAACCATTTAAAAGATCACTATCCCAGAGCCGAACTGTGAAACTTCGTTGTTTTACGAACATCGCTTTATACAGTTTATCATTCAGTTTCGTACGTCTTTATGAGTGTCAATTAAATAGATGACTACCCTACCGCAGACCTCTACTACAAAGATAATTTTCTTCGCAAGATGTCGCTGTACATTTTGTTTTAATTTTGACACTCATAATTATTCTCTATTTTATTTTGTTTCATTTCTTAGTCGAAAACTTTATTATTATAATTTTCAATTCTTTGGCTTATGCATATAGTTTATAAATTAATTATTACATTTTTTTTCTATTTCTGTTGAATTTATTAATTTATATATCAGAATTGTTTTCAATATTGTATCAGTTCAGTATAATTTTCAATATTAAAGAATTTCTCAATTTTGAATTTTCTTAGTATATCCGCAATTTAAATTAATACAATTCGAAAAATATCAGGAAATTTAGTAATATCATAAAATTTTCAAGAAAATTTAGTAATGCAATAAAAAAGAATTTATTGTTAGTCAAAATAATTGTCATACTTCATATCGGTATTTGTAAATATTGTTAAATATAGTGTTTCTTTAGCCAAACATTAGAAATTTAAAATATTTAAAAACTAAGTTTAAGAAAATTTAAGAAATTTATACAAATTTTCATATTTAAAGAGTGAAAAAGAAAAACAAATAAATTATTTTTCCACATAATTTTCGAATAATTAAGTTATTTAACACACTCAGGCATACATATATGTACATATATCTAATTATTTCTATGTAATCATACCAGTTCAATGAAGGTAAATATGTAGAGCAAAAATCTTTAAATCTCTAATATAGTAAATATAATTATAATCATTGGTAAAACAAATTATATAATATAAAATTTTATAATACATTATTAAGTATGGCTGCAGTGTGCGTGTAGCGTGCATATCATTGAAATTTGAAATTAAAAAGAATCGCATACACTTTATGTGTTATACGAGTATTTTTTGTGTTTTTCAAATAATTTTTTACTGTGTAATTTTGAAAATCTTTTTTATTTTTATATTTCCTTTTTTTTTTGCTTGCTAAATTATATACTCGTATTATATAATAAAGTATAAGTTATGTAAAAGCTTTATTTTAAAATTTAGATCTTGAGATGCCAAAAATGTTAAAAAAAGTTTTGTTTTATTGCTATTTTTTTTTTTTTTGTTAACCCATCGCAATAAAATTAGTTTTTAAATTTTTTTTTAACTTTTAATGATAAGCTAGCATACGCTAGTGTGTTAGCTATAAATTTTCATTTATTCTTTGTCACAGTCTTAATGTTACTTTTAATGATTTAATATCGCGCTCTTCTCTTATAATCTGATTTTGTTAAAAAAGGGAATTAAAAAAAATTTTATTTTTGTTTTAAAAATTCATATTTGTTGTTAAAAAAAAATGTTTGTTATTTATTAATGAAAAATCAAAGAGTACCTACGATAGTAGTACATGACGAGCAATACAAACATACATACAAATATTGTGTAAATAAAATTATAGTTTGCCAGTATTACTTACTTAATATATTTTGACAACAAACACAAATCACAAAATTATTAGACATGAAGGACGATTTATTTTGTGCTCTTTTTGTAAATCAGTATCCATGAATTTGTAAATTAATGCTAAATAATTAAACAAATATTGGATTTCAAAATATTTCAAAAATTAAAAAAATTTTTTTTTTTTGAAAATTACAATTTCTGGAGAAAATATATTTTAATTTTTCATTTATTAAAATTTTTTATATTAATTAATAGAAAAAGTGTTAATTGGTAAATTTTAAAGGTGATTAAAATTTAAAGTTTATAAAAATTTTTGGTCAAATTGCAAAATTGAAT